CTCGCTGAGCCGTCCCGCCGGCTCCGGGCGCGGACCACCCGCTAGGTTCCTGAAATGCGAGTGGGTCGGCCTTCACTCACCACGAGCGACCCCCGAGTCGGCTTCCACTTAGGGACGCTGATTGTGCTGCTTCTCCCGCCTTGAGAAAGTTACTCTGGCCCTTTTGAGAATCCACCCAGAGTGCGAAGGGAAGATCAATTAGCGTGGCGCAGGGGTGGGCTCCCATTCAGCGGGAAGAACCTGGTTAGCGGAAGCGCGAAGTCCAGCCCATTGACAATTCAGCCCTGGAAAGGGTTAACCCCGGCCGCCGTCTGGTTTACGTGTAAATAGAGAGCAGCTGCTCTGCGCGGGCCCGGGTTAGCTCTTTTAAGTTTTTGATTGGCTGCCAATGACATCACCACCGGTGTTATAACACCGAACACTCGGAGCAGCGTCCGATAACTCCGCCTTAAAGAGGCTGTTGTCACGCCCCTGGATCCGCCCCCTCCGATCGTCTATTGGCTACAAGCCACTGTGAGGTGGCGGTGGAGTTTCTCCAGATTTCTATTGGCCCAGGGCACCGCCGGTCGGCGGCGGGCCCGCCCCCTCAGAACCGTACATTTACAGTGTAGCAAAAGAGAAAGTAACTATGTTACTGCTGGAGATCAATGAAGCCAAGTGAATGGGGGTTGAATGTGCGAAGCCATAGTTGAAGCGGAGCGCCAAATGGTGGAGGGCTACACTTATTTATGAAGTAAGTGGAAGTCACCGCGACTACTACTGAGAGTGGAGGAGTAGAAGGCTGTGTGTGTGTGTATGTGTGTATGTTGTATGTGTGTGTGATGCGATGCTGACGGGGGGCACGGTGGGGAGCCACAGCAGGTGAGGTTATAAGGTTCTGGCTTCTGCTGTCCAGGGCGTTTACTTTCTCTGCAGTCTACCTGGATTGTGGGGCGAAGGAAAAATGAGGTTTGTTGGGATGCTTTGCGGTAGTTTTTTTAATTGCCTGAGGCTTGTTAGCGAGCTGTGTTGCGAAGGGGGAGGTTCAGTGCCCTGGAGTGGGGAAGGGGTGTCTCTAACCACTGAATTTCCTTGCCAGCCCCAGCCTAGTGGTGGAAAGGCGATTCAGGAGAGGTGGATAGCTTGTATTTGCCCCGGAGGTTTTCTGGGCCAGACTGGCTGGTTTCATGGGCAATATATTGGCCCGGCCGTCTGCTGCAGGGCTGCAGATCTCGTTGTACACTCTGTGCGTGCGTGCGAGCCGCGCACTCTGGGTGCTATATGGGGGTCCCGGCGTGGACACGCTTTGCATCCCCTCTCCGAGGAAATGTACTGTTGATCCTGGGACGGACTCTGTCAGGTCCCACAATAGCAACGGCTTTTCACTGTTAGCTCTAGATGGGAAACAGTTATATCTCCTGGAATAGTACTCGCTCTTCAAAAAATACTACGCAGGGGAGGGAGGGACAGGGTTTGGTTTGGCTCCTTCACTAGCATCCAAAGGTGGGTGAGAGAAACCTGAGTCGGTGGGGATCTGGGGACTTGATGCGTGTGTGTGTGTGTGTGTGTGTGTGTGTGTGTGTGTGTGTGTGTGTTGGGAAGGGGGGGGCGATTGTGCCTATGACACTTCCGAGAATAGTGACAGTTGTGTGTAGAGGGATGATAGATGACATTTTTCCAGACAGCTCTTAAAGTTCGTTTAGGTGAACAGCTCTTGCCTGGGGTTGGGTTTCTTTTTTGTGACCCTGTCTAATAGGACAGGCGCCAGGCAAGCAGGTCCTTGGTGTGGAGTGCCCCTGTGTCTACAGGGAGGATGACTTGGTCCTATGCAGGCACTCTGAGGAGACTGGTGGTGGGCCAGTTGGGCAACATTTAATTGCCTCCTTTAACAAGAATAGGTTGATTGGGAAGTCCTGTGTATGGAATCTTTGTCAAGTTCAATCTTCTTTTGAAAGGCCTGGCAGGGCATCTGTATGGGATTGAAATATACAGATTAGCTGACGACATCCCATGGATGGAAAGGAAGGAGGAACGTTGGGGGGTGAGGGGGGTCTTGTCCTTGGGGGAGGGCAGGGGAGGACTGCAGCAGCAGCAGCTATGTGATGGGTCTGCCAAGGTTAGGGTTTCCAGGACTGGGTCTTGGGCCTGAGGTTTTGTTTTAGGACACCAGTCTGTAGTGAACGGGGCACAATGCAGATGCATTTACAAGAGGCTAATAGGAAACATGGGTGGAATTAAGATGACCCCGTGTTGTAGTTTTCAAAGGGCTTGGTAGCCTGGAAGAGGAAGAATAGGTCTCGTGAAAGACTTTCCTTTAAGGGAACACTTTCGTTCTGATTTGCAGAAAGTTGGCCTGGCCCCCTGATGTAGCTTTAACTGCTGTGTATTTCTGAGAGCCACACCAGTACTCTTGAGCATCCTTTTGCCTTTGCAGTGGACGAAGGAATTACATGGAAAGTGTGCAAAGGTGGACACATGGGGATTCTCAGATGGTTGCAGTATACTTCTGCTGAGGAGCTGAGGCACAGAATAGAGGGCCTTTTTAAATGCCCTCCTTTTAAATCAGCAGCTTGACTAATTCACCGTGTTTTGTCACCTTTTCCAAGGCTGCACTTTGATATCAGTCCTTTAAAGGTTGTTCATCAAAGTCTGCCTAGAGTCTATGTGGAATGTACCCTCACCAACCAAATTAGATGGGGGCCTTCAAGGTGCATCCTCGTTGAGTAAGTGGAAAGGGGCTTTCCAGCTCGGAGCACAGCACACTAAAGGGCACTTCGGATGACTTTGCTTAGAAGGTTGCAAAGGTCTTTCCTGCGGGACTGGACCAGACTGCTTTTCATGTCATGTGACTTCATTCTCTCTTCCCCCTTTTCTCCCCCCCACTTCTTTGCAGACTGTCTTGAGTTCTTCTTGAATTGCCAGTTTTCAGCCTCCTCATGCCTCCGTCTCCTCTAGACGACAGGGTAGTAGTGGCACTGTCTAGGCCTGTCCGACCTCAGGATCTCAACCTCTGTTTAGACTCTAGCTACCTTGGCTCTGCCAACCCAGGCAGTGACAGCCATACTCCTGTCATCACCACCACCGTTGTGTCCCTCAAGGCTGCGAATCTGACGTATATGCCCTCATCCAGCGGCTCTGCCCGCTCCCTAAATTGTGGATGCAGCGGTGCCAGCTGCTGCACTGTGGCAACCTACGACAAGGACACTCAGGCCCCAAACCAAGCCATCGCCACCGGCACTGCAACCACCACCATCGGAACCTCTACCACCTGCCCTGCTTACCAGATGGTCAACAACAATGAGAACACAGGCCCTTTAAGTCCAGCGTGTGGGGTGGGCAGCCCTGTGTCAGGAACCCCCAAGCAGCTAGCCAGCATCAAAATCATCTACCCCAATGATTTGGCGAAGAAGATGACCAAGTGCAGCAAGAGTCACCTTCCGAGTCAGAGCCCCGTCATCATCGACTGCAGACCCTTTATGGAGTATAACAAGAGTCACATCCAAGGAGCTGTCCACATTAACTGTGCCGATAAGATCAGCCGGCGGAGGCTGCAGCAGGGCAAGATCACCGTCCTAGACTTGATTTCCTGTAGGGAAGGCAAGGACTCTTTCAAGAGGATCTTTTCCAAAGAAATTATCGTTTACGATGAGAATACCAATGAGCCCAGCCGAGTGATGCCCTCCCAGCCACTCCACATCGTCCTCGAGTCTCTGAAGAGAGAGGGCAAAGAACCGCTGGTGTTGAAAGGTAATGTCCCCGACTCCCCTCCTCAGCACATTCCTGATGAGCGTGGGTTTTCAGAACAGCAGTCTCCTCCTCCTGCCTGCAACAGACCCAAACAAGCCTTCTTCTTGTCTTCCCTTCCATATCCTTTTTTTTTTAATTACTTTGGGATAACAATAAAAATCAAAGTAAACAAACTGAAACACTGAACTGGAAGGCAGAAGGTCTGGGTCCTAGAGTTGGTTTATAACTTGCATTGTGTACATTATCTTACCTCTGTGAGACTGTACTCTCATCTTCCTGAAAAAAGGGGCTTTATGCTGCGTGCTATCTGAAGCCATGTCTCCTCTGGTAACTCCATATCCCAATCAATAACTTGTTCAGAAGTTATGTTCTCTCAGACTTAACTTATGTGGATGGGTTGTGGGGAGCAGCAACTATGATGAACTTCAGGTAAACCAGCTGGTACCAGTTCTGTGGGTGGTTTTTCCTCTTTCTCAACTTTGACCAGATTGGCATTTGTGTTTTATCAAGTGACCTTCAAGAAGAGCAGAGATCTTGAATGTGATTTATAAGGCCTCTTGGAAAGGACAGGTTCACCAAATGCATCCATATCCTCTAACCAAAGATCAAGGCGACAGAAACGTTTCCATGAACTAGCCCCGAATCTCTCAACAACCTTTGGGTATTGTGGGTCCTCCCAAGATGGGGTGGTGGGACACCCGGCAAAGCACAGGGAGCAAAGAACTACTCTGGGGTCTTGATTTTGAGTCTTGACTCACTAGTGCCACCAAGTCACTTCTGGCTCATACTGACCCTACAGGACAGGACAGAACAGCTCCATAGGGTATCTGAGGCCGCAAATCTTTATGGGAACAGATAGCTATCTTTTTCCTGTGGAGCAGCTGGTGGCTTTGAACTGCCTATGTTAACAATTAGCAGCCCAATGCTTAACCCACTGCCTTACCAAGACTCCTTTGAGTCCTTTCAGAAGGACTGGATCACCTGCTGGATTATCTTCTCCTTCCTCAATCCTGTTCCTTGATCTGTTGGGTGCCTTCATTTTGTGTCTATTTCAGTTGCACCTTTTTGCATCAGAGACTATATTCTTTGGGTGCACTGCATACTTCTTCCTACTCAGTGCCTTCTGCCAGGTGGTGGTAATGAGAGGTAGTCTTCGCTCTCTCTCTCTCTCTCTCTCTCTCTCTCTCTCTCTGTCTTAGTAAGGTCTTGAGCCCAGAGCATACAATTTTTGTGCCACATCTCCAACCAGTCTCCCCAAATATGTTGAGGACAGGTCTTGCTGAGTTCCTTTGGACATTTTCCATAGAGTCGTTCTGCCCTTCTCTTCCCAAGGATGCATTCCTTCGCTCTTCGGTTAGGGAGTATTTTAGGGACTATGGTCGTTCTGATATCCTGTGATAGACTCTCCATTCCTATCCTTTGCGCTCTTAAGCTTGCCCTCACTGGACTCCACTACCTCAAAGGCATCACTTTCCTAAAGGATTGTTGGCTCTAAACAGAAGGGCGCTACTGTGGACGTTGCACCCAGAGATTTCGGCCATCCTCAGACATTTTTGGTTGTAGATGAGTTTCCTTCAGGCTGTAAATATGTTCAGATCACTTCCCTCTAGCACAGGGTTATATTGTTTCTGTATTCTTGTTTGGTTGGCTTTCAGTGATTCCCAACAGAGTTACCCTGTTATTGTTTCCGCGCCATGATCATAGTTGCTTTGTCTGTTTCAGAGGAGAAATACCATCTACACAGTTCCCCTTTATAAGAGTTTATCAAGAATGGTAGCCAACAGTTGGGACAATCTCCCTTTTCCTCGTGGACAACAAGGTGTTCTTGGCTAAGAAACGAGCAACACTGGTCTGTTGTGTCTGGGTGATCTAAGGACTGGTACTAAGGAATACAAATTAAGATGACCAGCCAACTTAAAAATGGGAGTGATTAGAAAGACTTGTAGATCCGAGCCTCTGTTGTGCAGTGTACTTGTGGTGTTGCATTCAGGGCTGCTCTGAGCAGGGACTCTCCGTGATCCTGGTGAGAATGGGATTGCCTCTCCCCCCTTGTTGTGGGTGCCGCTGAGACTCAGGGCAGCCTGGGCTTGTTCCTTGTGACCGGCAGTCAGCTTGCCTCGGTGGGGCGGGGCTGGACACACTGCTGACCTCACCACTGGGCGCCCCGGCGGCCACTCTGAGGGCTCCTCATTTTCAGGTCGGTGAGACACAGCGGCGGTCGATTTGGAAGACGCTCTCGTGGTAGAGGTTGGATTCTTTGTAGTTTCTTGGGTCTTTCTCTTCAAATATATAGGGGTTTAGTTAAAAATACAGAGTTTGGGAGCAAAGGGGTCTGGAATTTGCTTTATTTATCATTATTATTTTGGTCTCTTTTGCTATAATGGCTGAGATTGAAACCAAGATGGGAAAGAAGGGAAAGGGGTGGACATTAGGCTCCCCCTAATGTATCCGTTCATCCGGGCCAACCAAAGGTTAGTAGCCTTGCACGCCTGGTGTTATGGACAGGGGAGTATCTCTTCAAAGGGTTGACCAGCAACTTCTCCCAGGTTCTCCTGAAGTATACTCTTCTGTGGGTCAAGCTGACCATTTTGGTCTTGCTTCTCTGCTGAGCTTTCTGTAAACCTCGTCCACCTCGGGCCCTAACATTTCATTTCAGCAAGAGGTCGTGGAACCATTTAGGCAGGAGTCGTTTCTGTAGTGGTACTGGTTAGTTAGAACATAAGGTAGAAACTTCTAAGGCCTTGCTAATTTATTTTCAGAGATTTCAGTGCAATGCTGGGTAATTTATGGCTGGCCCATCTGATTCCCTGGTTTATGTTTGTAAACATTGGTTGCTACCCTCCCTGTCCAAGTTCTCTGTGCCCTGTCCGGGTGCCACGCTCTCCTTGTTTGGTGCTGCCTGTCAAGAGACTGGCTGCCCCATTGCCATTTTAGTAATGCTGTGTCAGGGTGGGAAGAAACTGATCAGAGGCCCACAAGCCCTTGGGATTAAGTGGCCGCTCTCATTTACAGTCCCTTTCCTGTTCTGACCTATGTCTGAATTCTCTTTGTCGTCTTAGCTCCTGGAGTATATATGTGTGCTTCTACCCTACCTGGCGAAAATGATCCAAGTGAACAAATATTTAGAACTTAGTGGAGGCTTGGAAATAGTTATAATTTTTTCCCAAGTTGATTTTTAATATCATTTCTATTTAAAGTGAGTGAGAAGGCTAGCTAACTCTGGGTATTCCAAAATGAGGTTTACCTGATGTTTAAAAGGCCCCATTCCTTTTGGCAAGATTGGCTTCAGGGAAAATACTTTGTCATTTGCCCATCCATCTCTTCCTCCATAAAGAAAATATATGCCTTTAAAAAATTTAAAGTATTTTGGAACATTCTCAAGCATACAGAAAGTAGCAAACAATATAACAAACATGTTTATATGTAGCACCTAAAGTAGACAATTGCTAGGATTTCTGTACCCTCTTTCTCTCTCTCTCTCTTTCGGTTGAAATATTTTAAAGGGCAAAATAGACAACTTTTTCAAGATTTAAATATTTGGAATGTTTGCATTTAAGGTCTTTAATCAAGCTGGAATAGTTACAGTATAAGACAGACATGTTCATACCTAAATAATTGTGTTATGTGACAATTATTTGAGATTGTTTTCAAATGTAGGTTCCTTCTGTGACTGATGGGCTGTCAGGTCTATGAGAAGGCTTCCCTCCCTCAGAGTGGGAGGGCTCCAGGTGCCTTCCTGGGGTATGTCTCCCTCTCCCCTTTTCCACGCCATGCCCAGACTTGCTCTGGGCTCTTATAAAACAAAGATTAACAAAGGACTGCTGCAAGACAGGCCTGCTTATGAACCAGAGGTATTTACTGGGGATCACAGGGAGGCGGGGGAAGGAGTTCAGAAGGCTGGTTTATAGAAGAGATTTGATGGCATATGGACTCTGATTTTCATATCTCCTGAGAAATGAGCAACATATTGAACGTTTGTCTACAGTCAGAAAATGAATCAGAAACAAATACTTGTGGGCAATATAGTGTTTGGGGACAGTGTGAATGATCATACTAAGAAATCACAGACCTTGTGGAAATATTCTTTCCACTGCTGTTTTATTTTGATGAGTGTTCTAGTTTGAATTGTGTCCCCTCCAAAAAAAAAAAGAGAGAGAGAGGCATTTTAAACCCTCACCTTTAAGTCTAGGGCTGTAATCCCATTTGGGAATGGGTTGTTTTGTTATGTTCATGTGGCAGGATTAGTGTAGGGGGTGTTTTGAGTCAATTTTTTTTTTTTTTTGAGATGTAAAGAGAGAGTAAACACAAACTATCAAACAGAGATGGGGGAAGGCAGATGCTATGATGCCAAGACACAGGGATGTCTCCAAGGTACCAGGAAGCAGAACCTGAAGAGACCAGGGCCTTTCTTCAGAGCGGATGTCCACAGGAAGCCTTCCCTGAGAGAAGCTTCTCGGAATGTGCATTTGTAGATGGCTACAGAGGGCGAAGCTAACCGAAAGTTGATGGTTTGAGCCCACCACTTGCTCTGTGGGAGAAAGGTGTGGCAGTGTACGTCCATAAAGATGTAGAGCCTCAGAACCCAAATGAGGCCATTCTGTCCTGTAGGATCACTAGAAGTTGAAATCCATCTTTTAGTTTTTCTTTCAACTGTGGGTAAATAAATCCTGTGTGGTAAAGGCACCGCCTTATGCGAGTTCTGTGATAGCAGCACTAGGTAAATGGGACTGAATTTTGTACTGGCAGAGTGGGTGGTTTCTAAGAGACCTAAAATGTGGAAGCAATTTTGGAATTGAGTAATGAGTAGAGGCTGGAAGAATTTAAGGTGTCCAAAAGTAAAACTAGATTGTCTTAGAGCTCATGACATGCAATGTGATTCTGATGGACCAGCAGAAAGGAGGGGAGCTGTAGAGAAAGCCTCTCCCATCTCAGAGTAGACATATAGTGCCAGTCACAGACTGTGGCTAGAAAACTGGACATTAAAGGTGTCCCTGGTGAGG